GGATCAGAATTCCTTTAGGATTTATCAGATGTGTAGTCAAGTCTACACTGAAAAAAAAGCCTGATAGATTCAACCAGTCGTCTGTTAGAAAATGGACGAATCAGAATTCCTTTAGGATTTACCATGAAAGATATTTCATAACCAGAAGTTTGCTAGACTTCACTACAAATCTGGTAAATCCTAAAGGGAATTCTGATTCGTTCATTTTCTAACAGACGACTGGTTGAATCTGTCAGATTTTTTTTCGTGTAGCGAACTTCTGGTTATGAAATATCTTTCATTGTAAATTCTAAAGGAATTCTGGTAAATCCTAAAGGAATTTTGATTCGTCCATTTTCTAACAGACGACTGGTTGAATCTATCAGATTTTTTTTCAGTGTAGGAAGTGAACTCTTGCATTTGGCAAAACTTTTTTAAATCCTCAATATCGTTAGTGATAAGAATACACGGAAAGACCGGCCAAGGCGAAAATAACTAAAATTAAAATGTTGCCGTATAAATAGTAGGGGCATCTACATTGTTTTGTGTTGCAACATTCACTAAGTTTGCTGCACAAGGCGCATGTGATTGCTCCACTACTTATGGGTATGACAACCCACAGATATAGCTGCCCCAAATATTACTATTTATTGGGGTTATGCCCACCCTAATTAGACATGTGGCAACCATATCGGTCTCTCCGTGTACCGTTAAATCGTTGTACCTTGCTTCTTTTCCGCATAAGTACGGGTGTCACACCCGGGAAAACGATTTGTCATGTTTCTTCGAATCTACTAAGTTTTCATTTACTTGTACTAAAACATTTGCTAGATTTGAAGAAATAGATATGGATTTTCTTCGAAATTTCAGTCTTAATCAAATTAAATTTTGGTTAAGATAAGGAAATAATTTCTTTGGAATGAAATGAAATGGAAACGCAAAGAAAATTTGTTTGACTTGAAAGAAACTTTTTTTCCGGGTGCACGGAATCGCACACAACTAATTTATTCGTACAACTTTCTTGGAGAATTGGCACTTTAAAAGACTACAAAGAACAAATCTGCAGGTTTTCTTTAAACGCAAGGTCATAAAATAGCAAAATACCGCGGCAATTAAAAAGACGAATCTCTTTCATCCTACATACTTTTCTAACCGGGAAAATCTATTTGCCACGTGAGATTTTTGTTTATAGGCGCGAGAACAATTTATCGCGCCGCAGGTACACACAAACGTATCGCGAATCCGCGATGAACGCGATAAATTCGACCACGTAATCGCGCTCTGAATCCTTAGTAGGGCGTATCATAATCGGGAGGGAGCGTACGTGTTACGCCGGCTTACGAAAGCTCGACGGGATCCCCGCGTTCATCCCTATTTGATGCCGGCCGCGGCGTCCGTGCCGCGGAAGCTAATTAATGGCTCATCGACGAGCCGAAACTTTATGCGTCAAAACGCCGCGGTTTAATTCGCGCGCGCGCGGAATTTGCGATCGCGTCGCTGTGTCGCTGATTTTCTTTTTATTCCCCTTTTCCACCCTGTCCCCTCCCGCGCGCGTATTTCGCCGCTGATCGTGAAATACGATTTTAATGTTACGGTTTGAGGTCCCGAAAATGCTCACTGTAAATACTATTAAATATCGCGAAACATTTCCGCCCGCGCGCCAATCGAATGCTGTTTAATGCGCTTCAGCGTGCGCGATGAAATATTCCCGGGGGTGGTTTTTTTTTGTCGGGATAACGTCCATCACGTCGGAGAGTAATCGTTACGATTGCGAGAATTTACGCGGATGACTGACGCGTTCTCTTATCGCGCTCGCTGTTGGCTAAATGCCGCTCTAAAATACGATCTCTGCATAATTTAACAAATGCACCAGCCACTCGCGCGCTCTTCCATCGGCCATCGATCGTCCAATAACCCTTTATGACGGCGTCGCTGAGATTATTACGATATCTGTGTCGAGGGTATTCCGGCCCCTTTGAAGTATCGCGTTACTTCTTCAGCTAGTTTTACAATTTCGCTCGTGTCGTCCGTAGCTTCATTTCGCTACGTATTTACTTTATGCCGCTCGCAAAAGGTGGATCGAGTTCCGGAGTATAATAAATATTGTCTATATATCTGTCCGTCCTCCTCCGTTTCCCATTAAAGGAGCAGAAAGGGGCGCGGAAGAAAAAGAGTCGCGCGCGCGCACGACGTAACTATTTTCTGCGTTTCGCTCGACGCGCAAATATCCCAGGGAAACGGCGTTTTAATATCGCACTGCCGCATGAAAATTCACCGAGAGCCGACCGGAGGAGAGCGAGATGAAGGACGGGAACAGACACGACGTCGGTCGGCGGGGAGCTGCAAAGAAACCGGCGAGAAGAGGAAAGGAGAAGACGCGAGCGCGGATGAAGAATAGAGAGGAACGAGAAACAAAAGTAGACGCAATCGCGCCTCTCGCGCCCGACCCCCGGTCCCTGCGTGCGTACGTGCGTGCGTGCGTGCCCGGCGTGGGAAAGCCGGGCTCGGCTGCAGTTTCGCGGCCGCCGGAAAATGCGCCGATGTACAAACACGATCGCACGCTAATTCTCGTATTTATCCACGCGCGACGTCGATCGTGCACGCGCGCGCGTCCCCCTCCCGACCGGTCCAGGGGGTCAAAGGCAGGGTCGCGCGCGCGCGACGCGGACGTGGGGGGATGCGGCGCGCCTATTATCCGGACATCGTGTTGCCTAGTACGGGGAACCGGCTTAAAGGACGTTAAATATGTATGACGTTGTCGAATTACGTTGACCCCGCCGATCTCTCCGCGCGTTGCATCAGGCAAGGCGTGTTATCGCGATGCGGTAACTCTGACCGCAAGGTTATTAGACGTGTACAGGCCGTCTCATTCCCACCCTTCGCGCGTGACGTCACGCGTATCCCGTGCGAGAGGGAAACCCATAGATTGCTTCGTTACACTCGGCGCCACATGGTGTAAAGATACAAGGCGAAGCGACCTGGTGGATGCGCAACGTCAACCAATCGGAAGTGGCCCAAACTACCGAACTGACCAATCAGAAATTTGCCCCAAAAATTGGTTACACGCGCAACGTTTCACCTTGTATCTTTACACTATGCGGCGCCACGCAGTAGCGGCTGGTAGAGACCCCGTAATCAGAGACTGGCCATAAGAGTTGGTGA